AGCTTACGGGTATTTAGTTTTATTGTGCTGATTGTTTTTAATAAGTGCTATTTTCTTTAATAGAAAATTAATTTATTTGTGCCAAGTGTCCTAGTGAGTTTCATTGTACATTTTAATCAGTTTTATTTTTGGATAAATTGACATCGACTTCCTGCATTAAAGGTAGGTAGTATTTTTTTTCTATCACTCTCGAGTTCGTCATTGAATAAAAAAATTAAACGCTATAATTTTAACATTCAAATATTTGCAATTAAAAAATAATATTACGTATTAAATTTGACAATAAAAAAACTTGTTATTTAATAATAATGTTTCATTATTCTGAATATATTTTTTCTACGATCAATATCCAAAGTAGGTAGGCTTTTGCATATTAAAATCTAAATAAAAAGTTGACGTTTTCTGCGAATTGTCATAATTTGACATTATTGGCGCACATTACCTAATATTCAAACCCATTTCCATGCTTAAAAATAGAAGATGGTGACATTCATTTAAAAGAAAACCATAACTACTTTTACCAGGTGAAAAATTTCAATATGTTAAAATAATTCATGATTTTTAAGAAATGTGCTAGAAATGATACTACAATATTAATATTCTTTTTATGTTTGATTTTCTAATAATGATTTTATATACTATTAGATTCAAGGACAGCTAGGTATAGCTCAAAGAAAATTGTGCTACTTTGTAGTATATACTGGAGATGAAAATTCACTATTTGTTGAAAAAATTCATTTTCAACCCATTTTTTTTTTTAAATATGGTTGAAAAATTAGAAAAATTTTACTCGGAATATATGGCACCTGAGATAATTTTAAATAGAAGAGGACGTGGATTAAAATGTCTGGATACCCCATATAATGAAACTTAAAGTGCATAGATTAGAAAATTTATAAAAATAATAATTTAATGGACTTTAATGATACAAGTACTTGAAATAATGGTTTTTTTTGCGCAGAAGCATGTTCATACGTAATTTGCAATTGGTAATCACTAAATACAGATGGAAAAGTATATACGTCAACGATATGATCTCTTATTTTTGATTTATTTTAACAGGCATAATATATGGTATGTTACTTATAGTATAGATTTTTTTATTTCTCGACCTAATTTATTTGTTACGTCTTCAGCAATTGTCCTTTCAGTTGACATAAACGAAATTGATAAAAAGTGTTTTTCGCATTTTATATTGACTGTTTCTCTTACTTTCGAATAGAAACTGAGCTTTGTAAACATAAAATGACGGATATGTCAAACTAAAACTGACGGTAAAATGAAACATTGAGTATCGTTAAATGCAACTTTTGAACTAGTATCAAAAATAGCATTAAAATGATATTATCATTCACAATGTACTAATTTCCTATTCTTTTAGTTGATAAATAACCGATAATCATACATCATATAACAAATAGGCGCGTGTCAAAAGGTCAGAAAAAAGAGTGCCGATGAAAAAAGGTCGTTTCCAATTGTATCCTATAAACAGTATTAGAGGCAATATTATCATCTCGTATATCCCCCGTAAACACACATAATATAAACGGAAATAATCAAATACTAGTCAAAATATTATCGATCGGAGCACCATCTTTATTACATTACATGAAGTAATTATTGATTTTTCGGGGTTTATTTAGAGTTAAATTAGACGCCATTTTTGGTCCAAATTCGTTTTGACATGTTTTTTCAAAGAAAGTGACTTATAAATTTCAAATCTACACGTTTTGAAAAATATACAATATTTAAATATTCTGAGTGTACCAAATTCCAAGTAAAGGTTGAACTTAGGTCGTATTACATTTTTTTTTTATTATTTGTTTGACATCGAGGTTAAAATAATTCTACACGGCACCTTTGAGATGAAATAAAAGGGGGTTATTTTACATGATTGGTTTTTATTGAAAATAATAAATTTATTAATTTTCAATAGTAAGGTGACCTAAGTTAGACCTTTATTTTTAATTTGGCCAAAAATTAGATTTTTAAACACTATATATTTGAAAAACTGTCGATTTAACTTTTGGTCTACACATACAATTTTTATACACAGGGATACCCCGTCCTTAACATATAGATTTTAGACCTGATGGTGGCTTATTGCCGAAATCGGTTGTATTTTAACATTAAATAATTTTTTTTTTATTTTTCTTGAATATCTTTAAGATGACCACATTAGATCAGTTGGATACCCTTCTTTAATTAATTTTTAGTTAGGTACCTATACCCAATTTTGATACAAAATTCACTCATTCGATATAATATGAAGATATTTTTTAGAGGTGAAGAAAGAAAAAGTTCTATAAATCTCACAAGATATTTATGTATTCATTTTATTTTTTCTTCTGGCAAACCTAGTTGAAACAAGTAAATAAACTATTGTATACATATACATAATATGACACTGTAACGTTTACTTATTTTAAACAGTTTATTTTTTTTTTTTTTTTTATTTATTTACACTGTATTCACTAATTTATTTAAAACTTTATTTTATAACTTAATACAACACTAATTTATCTCAAATACTTATTTAGGTACTTCGAAAACATATCATATTGATCTCTAACTTAAAACTAACTCAAATCAATCCTATTTATATACCCAAATGTTTTGTTTCAGACCTGTCTTAAAATTTTAGAAGACACCTTCACCATTTCTTACACTGACCAATCTAGTCCATTCGATTTTTTCTACACTCCACCCAAATCTCTAGGAGCTTTTCCACGGCTTCAGTACTTTCTAGAATGAACGATTTAGTCCTACTGATGGCAATCATAGGTGTCAATATAGAGAGGGGTTCGGGGTTGACTTATTTCATCGGTCCAACATTTCATCATATTTCCTGAAGCTGATGGGTAAGCAAATCGTACCAACCTGGTAAAATCTACTTCGTATTCTTAAAGGATCTTGTCTCATTTCTGTTTGCGAGTTAATTGTGATTGTTACAAATGCTCCAAGCGTTGCCATATCGCATGTTTAATATGTTTTTTAATCGACTTATATAATTTTTTATGTATGTTTAACTATAATTATTTACCACTTTGTCCGATTTCGATGATTAATTTTTTGTTAGAAAGGGGTATCTTATGAGTGGTCCCATATATATTTGCTGAAAATCTGATAATGAGATCTATAAGAAAAAGTTGTTGAAAGTCATGCGTCTCTTCCAGAGGTATAGTCCTTTTAAATTTCAGCTCATGGCATTTTATTTTATTGTCTTTGGCCTCTTCTGTATTTTTTACAAGTCTGTCAGTTGTCTGTCAGTTTCTTCTTTTTTTTTTTTTTCTCTTTTATTTTTTTCCTCAACCTAATAAATTTCATTTTTCATAGAATAAATTTCAGACGAAACCTTTTCTTCTAAATAAGAAATATGAGATTAAACTTTATTTTCTAAGGAGGAAACTTTTTATCTAGGGAATAAATATAAGAAGAAACTATTTTCTTAAATTTCAATTTTTATAGAAGAAACAGCAGAAATGTCAGTTTTCATATAGAAGTCATATCAGAAGAAATTGAAGAAGTTATAGCAGTTATAGCCATTTTTTCCCTTCATTTATTTATTTATAGTATCCCACTTATGACACCAATGTAACTTGACTTTATTTTAAACAGTTTTATTTTTAATTTATTTACACTATAAATATTCACTAATTTATTTACAACTTTATTTATTTTATAAACTTTTACATAATTGAATAAGTTTAAGACGCAGCAGACCTAAATAAAACAGAGCGGGATTAGAGCAGAACCGTACTGGTCGAGAATGGTTAACACAACATTACGTTCAATACTCAAAATTTGGTTTTGAGTGTTAAAAAATAAGCAGTACTTGTTGTGCGAATTTTAAATTGTAATAAACTAGTTTTGTATGTTTTTCACTGACCAGCAAAATAATAATAATAATAATAATACTCTTAAGGGGTGGGTGGCTCAGTGATAGAGTCTCTGCCTGTGGATACAAGGGTCCCAGGTTCGAATCCCACCGTTGGCCGGGATTTTTTTATTTAATTTAATTATTTAAAATTAATTCTGATGCCTTGGTAGGATTCCTCACTCGACCATTCACTGTTGGGTTCTAATTAACAGTGCTGTTCCTAAAGTGGCACTGAGAAACAGTAACAAAGCTTACACATAACACGAGGCTAATGATCTTAGCAGTCGATGCCAATGAAACCCAAATAAAAAAAAATTATCTCCCTAATTCACCCCTTACGAGTGAATTTTAACCCCAAAAGCTGAGCTTGTGCGGGGAAAGGGAGGGTTATTATTTTTATTTGCAGTGGCGCTCTGGGGCGACTTAAAGATGATTGATGGTACCATTTGACTTACAGGTGAGGAAAACCCGGAAAAACCCCACCCACCATCATCGAAAACGGTAGCGCATGGTGATTTTTATTTTACTAATCTGGATGTCATATCAACAGGAATTACATTTCTGCTAATATGGCATCCATCAAATCCTATAGGAAAACCATGCAAATAAACTCACATGGTCTTCCGTAGGATCTGAAACCGTATCTCGTTTTACCAGAAAATTGGCTGACAAATGAATGCCGCGCCGTAGACACCTACACCACCGTAGTCGATAAAAAGTTCTGCTATAGTTTAATTAACGTCAGAGAACTACAAGAAAAATGTTTTGTATATATTTAGAATTTTGTGTGATCGTGATTTGTGTATTAATTATTATACCTCGGAGATATTTATATAAAAATTTAATCTCAATTTGACTCTCAACTATCCTGTCTATTAGGGTCACCAGACAGTGGTGAAGCCGGACCACTACTATGGGGCGTTTTAACTTATCTTTATAGTCTACTTTATATAATATATATATGATCTACTTTATAATACACTTTATAATCTACTTTATATTCTATTTTATAATCTACTTTATAATCTGCTTTATAATCTACTTTATATCCTACTTTACTTTATACTCTAATTTATAATCCACTTTATAATCTACTTTAAAAGTCTACTTTATAAACTACTTTATAATCTACTTTATAATCTACTTTATAATCTACTTTATAATCTACTTTATAATCTACTTTATAATCTACTTTATAATCTACTTTATAATCTACTTTATAATCTACTTTATAATCTACTTTATAATCTACTTTATAATCTACTTTATAATCTACTTTATAATCTACTTTATAATCTACTTTATAATCTACTTTATAATCTACTTTATAATCTACTTTATAATCTACTTTATAATCTACTTTATAATCTACTTTATAATCTACTTTATAATCTACTTTATAATCTATTTTATAATCTACTTTATAATCTACTTTATAATCTACTTTATAATCTACTTTATAATCTACTTTATATTCTGCTTTATAATCTACTTTATAATCTACTTTATAATCTACTTTATAATCTACTTTATAATCTACTTTATAATCTACTTTATAATCTACTTTATAATCTACTTTATAATCTACTTTATAATCTATTTTATAATCTACTTTATAATCTACTTTATACTCTGCTTTATATTATTCTTTATAATCTACTTTTAAAACTATTTTTCTTTTTTCTTTTTGTATTTTCTGATGATTATAATGATTATACCGTACTTCACTTTTTCTTATTGTGGTTACCACGTTACCAGGCCTCTTCCCAGATGCCTTTGTTTCTTCTTACCAATTTAATATGATCTGCATACTATAGTAGTTGTGACGATACTTGTGTTGTTTTTTCTGGCCTCACTCTTGTTTTTATTATATTGTCTGGGGAATTTCAATTAGGTATGTAATAGACATAAAATTGCTAACTAAATATCTTTATTCTTTTGCTAGGCAATACTTTTGACCACTGTATAAAGAACAAATAATTCATTTTCGAGTAGATAGACAATACCACTTGACTTTTAAATAATTTGATGGTCTAGAATTAATAAGATGACTTAGCGCCACCTATTACAAATATCATTTCCGTTAACCATACTTTTTAACTACACATCATAATTTTTTCACATACCTTAAAATACAGTTATTTGCAACGCTCTTTATACGCGTAAAACCATAAACGTAAGCAGTAATGATATCCAATCAAATTTTATTGCGTTTCGCACTCAATAAAAACACCATCAGTGGAGGTACGCATCGTAAAGTGTGGATTATCTATATTTATTTTTGATTTTACAACTTCACTCTTCAACTACTATACTTGAGGAATATTCATGGAAAAAAATGTAATCAAATTTCGTTTCTTATTACCTTTCTATTTGCAGTAAAAGTTTTTTTAATAAAACGATATTTTATGTACAATTAATCTAGTTTTAACATTTTTTCATATAAAAAATAGTTAAATGCTTTGCGGCTATATACGTGTATAAACTCCTGGACAAAATTAACGCACCACTTATATTTTGCTCGATAATCTTTATTTATTGATAACTTACTGTACGACAAGTAGGCCATGGACCTTGTTTGACTGTGACAGTTGTTTTTTAAGCTAGCTAGTGTCACGTTATACCTTGTTTTGACAGTAATTCGTATTAAACCTCGTTTTAGACTAAAACTGCGTTAACATTTTCTTAAATAAAAAGTGCTGATTAAAGCAAAGTTTCTGTTAGAAGCAAGCTGTTGATTGTAATTGTTTTTATTACATGCATGTTTGGAAGTTCATTTGGGAGAATATCAAGTAAAAAAAACCGTCAAAGAAATCTGTAACTGGAGGAGGCAGTGCGAGCATCGACTCTCCTGAATGAAGGATACTTAATGCGATATGTTGCTGGTTTGTTAGGAAGACATTATTCCAGCATCAGTCGCATAGTGAGGCGACATAATGAAACGGGTTCGTACCATCGAAGACCAGGATAAGGGCGAAAACGTTGCACTAATCAAATTGATGATCATTTTTTGAGACAACGTGCTCTTAGAGAGTAACCAGCAATCTGCTTAAAAATGAATTAGCAGATGTTCGAAATGTCGATATATCGTCTTGAACGGTTAGAAGACGTTTACATGAAGCAGCAACAGAAGACCAGCCAAAAAACCCTTACTTACCAGAGAACACAAAGTTTAGAGATTAAATTTTGCAAGACTACATCAGAATTGGACCATCAATAATTGGAAACGGGCTCTGTTCTCTGATAAAACTAGAGTTGGCCTTAAAGCTCCAGATGGACGTGAGCGTGTCTGGCGAAGACAAGGAGAAAGGTTTGCCAGCTGTAATATCTCTCCTAAAGTGCCTTTTGGTGGTGGCTCTAAAATGTTTTGGGGAGGAATTTGCTTCAATGCTCGTACGGAGTTGGTCCATATACGTACGAGGTCTATGAATGCCCAATATTACTTAGACATTATTGTCGAACATGTAATGCCTTTTGCTCCGTTTGTTGGGCCCAATTTTTTATTCATGCAGGACAACGCTCGTCTCCACGTGGCTAGACAGGTTATTGGTTACATACATGATGTTAATATTCCTTTATTAGAGTGGCCACCTAACAGTCCGGATATGAATCCTATAGAACATCTATGGTACTATCTCAAAAAAAAAAGGGATTCGAAGTCATAACCAACTCATTAAGGTCGCTGTTGGAGAATGGGAGAATATATCGCAAGCTTTTGTTGAACATTTGATATCAAGCATGCCGCGACGCATGAATGCAGTAGGCGGTATTAGGGTTGACCCAGATGCATTTATTCTCTTTTAATGATTTTTTTTTATTTTTTCTCTAGGGAGCCTTCAAATCCCATCTATCAAATGTAAAAGAAGTTTTCTGATGCCTCAGAAAGGATAAAGTTCATTTTTGTAAGCCTACTATGAAGTATCTGGCCATATAATAACAGGAGATAGAATTAGAATCCATCCCGAAAAATTTGTGTCAATTTTAAGCACCGAAAAATATTCGAGAATAGTTTTGGGAGTAGCATCCTAGTTCCCCAAATTTTTGCCTTCATTCATCCAGGTACTAGTCCTATTCACTGAACTATGAGAAATTTATCGGTGAAGATCGCTGGAAGAACAAAAAACCGCTTTTCTGAAAATCAAGACCATTTTAACTTAGGCGTCGATACTCAGTTTAGCAAATTTCAATGTCCCGTTTAATTTATAAACCAACGCTTCCAATCATGAGTTAGGAGTACTTCTGACGCAGAAGACAGATTACATAGACTTATGTTATCGCGTATGCCAGTAGGAGAAAAAGAAGAAAAAGGAAGAGTGTCTAGCAATCGTCTTGGGAATTGTAAAGATGTGAGCATACCTAGAATGGTAACTTTCACCGTATTACCTGACCATCAGTCGCTTTGTGGTCGCTCAGGTGGTTAAATTGCACCCTCATAAGGATATGCGGCAAAACATGGTGAATCAGTTCCCAACTAATCTACTGATGTTCAAACCCGTGGTTACGTACTGCTAGGTTATCTGGTGGCACAAGGTACTTCAACGGACCGCTAGAGAAAAGCTAGCTAGAATCTAGCGGCTTGCGTACATTGCCATCACTGGAGAAGTGCCAATAATACTGATAGAAGCTATGGAGACCATACTGGATCAAACTCCTCTCCACATTTTCTTGTAAGAGGAGACCTGGATGGTCTCCTACAAACTCCTGACGATGTGTAGTCACTGCAAGTAGAACTGCGATTAGACAAAACGGGAGTGATTAGTGGGAATATTAACCACCACATTCACAGCCTGATCTCAAACACGTTAATTCTCCGACAGCATACAGCTTCTTTATTTCAGAGAAAGACTTATTTATGGAGCAAACGGACTATGGCAGTGTACATGGATGGCTCCAAAATCGAAAACGGAATAGGAACTGGAGACAAATCGATAAACCTGGACACTCTAACCAGATCTTTCAAGAAGAAATGATCACTATAGGATTGGGAACGAGTAAGTTGATTAATGTTCCCCCCGTTAACAAGACTATAAAGATCTTTTCGACAGTCTTTAACGGCTCCAACCGAGTTTACTTAAAGCTGGTTTGAAACAATATAATAAACATCCTTGAATGCTTTGGTGCACATATCGAAAATATTTTTATCTGGGTTCCGGGACAGAGCAGTGTGGAGCAAAATGAAAATGAATTGTACTTACTGACCAGCAGCAGTATCAATTCGAAATTAAATACCGCAAAGGAGTCTTAAACCGAATAGCCGATGCTTTGTCCTAATATCCATTACCAACTACTGAAAGTACATTAAATACGCAGAAAATTGAAGACGAGTCAAAGCAGTCACAACAGAAAAACTGAAAATAGAATCCTTAGAAGAGTAGAGAAGGCTAGAATAGTGGTACAGCTATCAGCAAAAATAATTGTAAAGAATTAATAGTGAAATAGTGAACGACCAGTCCTAAGAAAAATCTTGGAGAAGTGAGAATAGAAGGAAATGAATGGAGGAGGAGGTACTCAAAGTGCTATATGGACAAGTATAGATCAACCAAATAGACAGAATAAAAGGGTTAGGTTAATTAGGACATATATGGAGAATGCCAAGTCAGATATGGGAAACAGAATCGTTAACAGGGGGAAGGAGCAAATAAACGAAGAGGACGGCCACGAAAAAAGTGGATAAGGGTGTGTAAAGTGGACTTAATGAAGGGAATATCTAATTGAAAATAAAGTATCATGGATAGAAATAAGTGGAGATGGATAGTAGGAAAATTTGAAGCTATTAGTCGTTAAGGCCTTTAGCTCTGTATTATACACTCCGTCCATTATTTATGGAATAATTAAAAATGAACCTAAATTTTAAACAACCATATATTTGTTAAAAATGCATGTATTTTACCGCGAGTTTTGGAATTGGATAGTTTTTTCTTCGTCTCTTAGAAACCAAGCCTTTATTTTGCCATTTGCCAATATTATACAGGGCATTTTACAAAGTGTGCACCCATGTAAAATTCACAAAATTTTAATATATGATTTGGGAAGTACGAGCGTGTAAAAATTGAAATTTTTTTGGACCGTTGGTTACAGCTTTCCTTTAAGTAGCTCCTGTATCAGTTGTATCTCAGTGCCGTGCGTGATAAATAAAAATGGGGTTTTTCAAAAATCTTTAGTGTTTTCTTTGCTATAAGGACTTTTAATTATCAAGGATGGTAAAGCTATAGTTAATGTAAGTCATTTATACAAGACGATTCAAAAGTACTCAAGCTTAAATTTAAAGATTTTTTATAATTTGTTTTATTGGGTTATTGGGGATAAAAAACAAAGACGAAAATACAAAACTAAATTTATGAAGAAAAAAATTAATAACGGGTGTTTCCTCCACGAGCATCAATAACATAGGATCAACATTATTCCATATATGTTGTAGAGCCCATTGTACTTGCTTCAACGTTTCTGGCGGATTAGGTGCCTCACGAAGCTCGCACCCATTTTATTCCACAAATGCTCAATGGGGTTAATATCTGGGCTTCGGGTTGGCCAATCCATTACGGCAATATCAGTTTCATCTAAATACTCCCTTACTAGTCTTGCCGTATGCGGTCGTG